CAGCAGCAACAGCCGCGCCCTCAAGGGCAGCAGCAACAAGGTCGCCCTCGTGGGCAACGTGGTGGACGCGGTCGTCGACAGCAGTAAGGTGCGCACCAACATGCACACTTTGCATCTATTGCTGACACCGTCACCACACCAACCATTACTCAGGGTCCGGACGTGGTGCTGGATCCACGCGCCCTCCTGCGCAAGCCGGTCTGCGTGGCCACAGGGAACAACAAGTACCCGTCGCTCACGCATGCCATATCCCTCGCAGAGGAGCTCGATATTCTGGCAACCCCCGAGCGCATTCTGTTACGACTGACTGTCGAGCGAGTAAGTGGAGACGAGCGAGGCAGGCAGGAGCGCCGACAAGCTCTGATCGCAGTGAGACTGGAGCGGAGCTCAACAGGCAGGACTGGAGACAAGTTGTGTATTGAGCGAAGTATCTACAGAGCGAAATACACGATGGCTTATCTGGAGACAAGAGGTCGAAACTAGAGTCTCCAGGTAGCAAGGGATCCAGCTATATACAGGGAACGAACAATGGGCGCTAGAGAACAATAGCGTCGCCATGGGTATGGAGTACAAGGGGTGTAGGACAATAGTGGACGTGGGGACAAAGGGAGCTATTGTCCGTGTGTGGACAAAGGGAAACCGTAGCGAGTAGTGAACAATAAGGAAACGTACGAGGCAGTGGTCCGAATCGAAAAGGAAACGTAGCGCCATGAGGGCGGTTCGTGACACATTCGGACGTTAGAGAACCTTGTGCGGCAGCTGCCCACTTCAACAGGTTCCTCGACGACCTCCTCCGAAACATTGCACGAAACGGAAACCGTCTCCTCGGACGTCCCCAGCGCGTCCATCAGCCTGTCCAGCCCAGACACCAGCCGCGAACCATCTCCAATCAGGAGTGGAACCACCGCGTTAAGGCTTGGACGTACGAAGGCACCAAGTCCTCTGACAACGGATGGGGAAGACCCCCTGTTCTTGGACGAGGAAGAGCCGGTGCCGCCGCCCAAGCGCAAGCACACGCTCAAGGAGCGGCTCGCTCCAACACTCAGGGAGCGTCTGGACGATCCCATGGACGAGGCGGACGATGCCGTGTCACTCGGCCTAACTGATGCTGAGGAAGAGATCGACGATTTCTTCGAAAGGACCTGGTATGTTTGCCATCCCTTGACCTCTAACGAGTCGTATGCTGACTGCCTGCACTCTGCAGTGACTAGTGTCACAAGTTCTTCTCGTAGAATAGATGGTCTGCACGATGATGTATCTGTAGCTACGCCCTGACAATTAGCTACAGAAGATAATATATGTCTTCACCACTCTTCGTATGCTGAGTGCGCGCGCTGTAAAGGAAAAGGCAGAACATCAACTGAGTACAATGATCCCAACCTAGTATGGATGATCGACTCAGGTGCTTCAATGCACTTTACATTCTGTCTCGATGACTATGTTGACTTCCATTACTACGGTACACCTCAACCGTTACACACGGCAGATGGTGTTACTACTATGATTGGTGAAGGAACAGTTATTATACCAACTGAGCTTGGAACTACCACAAAGCTGACGAACATCGCTATGGTACCCAACCTCACGTATAAGCTTATATCCTTAGGAGCATTGCTCAAGGATGGATTGGAAGCATGTGCAAGCACTGCTGAGATCTCTTTCTATCGGAATGATAGGCTTATAGTCGCGTTTAAACCGCGCTTTGAGAATGACACTATATATGTCACTCATACACAGCCTAGATCGGCGCGATATGCTGTTGCAGCTAGTAATGCTGTTGACTATGAAACTCTTCACCGTCGTTTCGCGCACCCTTCGCGCGATGTGCTGAAATATGCACAGAAACACACGGAAAAGTGCCCGCTTGTTGAGTTCCCTCTTCATGACTCAATCTGTTGAGGATGTGCTGAAGGCAAAATGCCATCGCAACCTCATCCAATTTACATTTGTCGAGCGACACATCCTTTCTGTTGCGGCGACTAGGCGCGTAGACTCGGGTCGACGTTCAGCGACGACCTCGTAGGCGAGCGGCAAGGAGCCGAAAGGGGAGAAGAGAGGGTAAGAGGGATAAACGTATCAGAAAACTCGACGGGGGCAGAGCGGCGGTCGGCACGAAGGCACAAGACCGACGAAAGCTAGTCTTCACGCAACCAGCGACAGACTAGTCCCAATGACCAAGTTATACATTAGCACTCGAAGGGAAATACAATGCTATGGCCACTCACCTAGTCCCAATGACCAAGAGGTCGAGATGGGGACTAGGGAGCGCCTAAGGGGGTCCTTATATACTAGAGGGGCTGCTTAGCAACCAAGGACAAGGCGCGAGAGTGAGGCAGTGAAGATGACAAAGGGAGAACAAAGGGCGAGAAAGAAAAGGCAAGGGCATGACGATCACGGGAACATAGCATGCGGCTGTGGGAATGTATCTACGGTGTCCAAACTGGGATGAGCTAGGAAAGGAAACAGTCCGGAAATGGAAGGTGGGCGTCAAAGGGAGGGGAATGGGCGGCAAAAAGGGGCGTCTGTCCAACGTCCGTGACACTTTCGAGCTAATCCATTCGGATCTCAAGGATTTCCCTATGCCTTCATACTGTTAGGATTGTGCCGCCGGAGTTCCGGAGTTAGGAGTCGGAGCTGGGCGGACACGGGGTGAAGACTTCGGCAAAGCTATTAGCAACGCCCTGAGGATCCCGACGGTGTCCTCGATTTCGAAGTCAGAGGTCAGACGGAGGACGGGCGGAGATCGGGCAGAGGTCGGGCAGAGGTCAGACAGAGACAGAGAGAGTAGATTGGAGCAAGGTAACTGACAGAGTACAAGCAGAGCATAAGGTAACGAGATATCCGAACTGAAGAACGCCGCATCAAGTCCGGGGGTTTATATACTAAGAAGCCGGTGTCCCCTAAGTCCGAATCGGAGGTGGATGTAACAGATCGTTCATTATCTTATCTTATCTACGTAGTTAATCTACATCTTGTATCTACATCTGGATCGTCATGGTGATTGGCGCTGATCCATCTGGATCCGCGCGACGTGGCGAAGGCTTCTCAGCCTTTCACCACGTCCACTATAGTATACGCCCTCTCAATCTAGAGATTGGTTCAGTGTACTTTGGACTTGTGTGAATCAGGCGACACCCGTAAACATTACACTTTTTTACACTTCATACCACGAATACGTGGGTTTCTAGATTGTATTGTGCGTTAGGCACCTACCATGACGGAACCCTCGACATCACACGCGACACACCGTGAGACCGCGAGCTTGACTCGAGCTTCGCCTCTGAGGTGGTCTCTCCGAGACCCGGACACTTCGTCAGGAAGCTCTATCCCCGGAGGTCCTAGCTCGTCTGGTAGACGTGCGGACTCACCCCGAAGCGGCGCTCCCCTAAGGTCCACAGGGATCCGCTGGTTCTCTGAGGACATAGCAAGTAGTTCGACGCCTACTGCTAGTCACCGACAGGAAGTTGCTCCCGAGAATAGCTCGGTTCGAGCAAGCCCGGCGATATCGCAGGGTGGGGTAAACCCGACGTCAGTAGCGTCGAACCCCTTAAGGAACGTGACCATTAGGTCCAACCAAGATAGGAACTCTGCTGGTAACGCAGGAGCGTTAGCAGTACGAGACTCCGCGGGGGATGGGGACAACAAGCCCTCCAATTCACTACCAGTGCCGAGGTCTCCGGCCGTGCAATTGAGGATGCAACAGTTTCTCAATATTTTAGGGCGCACCACCCAGCTTGGGGCGTATATAGCTGAGGCCCCCGACCAGGAATGGTCTCCGCGTAGGGCGTTGTCTTACGTGGCGGAGAACCTTGAGATGGAGGGCGTACACACCCCGGCGACGTGGCTTCATAACCACGCGCTGGATCCAGAGGCAAGTACGCCCGAATGGGCGTTGCGGATGCTAGAGTCGTATCTGACTCGCCGCGCCAGGATAGTGGAGGAGAGCACTACTGAACAGCAGTCGGGGCAACAATTGCAACCACCACCACCTGAACCTGCGAACCAACAATATGCGCAACTGTTGGTTGCAGAGGTCGCGGACGAGTCACCGTCCCAACTAAATACAGCCTACGAAACGGCGACCGAGCAACTGCAGGAGTTGCCGGACATGGGCCTCGGATTGATACAGGATGGGGAAACTGTTCAACCGAACAGTAACCCTGCTCCTGAATTTCATCAACGGTTAGAGGCCGCACTGGCTCGTACTCGAGACCAGCGCGAGCAGAACGCGGGCATCGCGGGTCAATCGAACCGCGTTGCGTCTCGTCCTGGAAGTCGGGAGTCGCCTACAACCCTCGCCTCAGGGACACCACCGTCGTATCCCCCAGGATACGGACCGCGAACCACCTGATCGCCCGCGCCGAATCCGCCGAACCAACAGTCGGCCGCAACGGTTAGGGTCACCAACGTGGCGGCCCAGCCAGAACGTCGCTGGAGCGTCCACTTTAGACAGGATAACGCCCACCACGCGCCAACGAGATCATCGCCGTTAGCGGCCTATCCTCCCTACGTCGCACTCGGCGTGTCGGCACCGCCCACTCACGTTCATTCGAACATGGGCTCGATAAGTGGGCATCCCAACCGGCCTAGTGCACCACAGGTGCATCCAGCCACTTCGGCCGCCCCGTACGTAGGAGCGACGTCCACCATTGGTGGATATCAGCTGCCTCTACTGGGTGCGCCGAGCCAGGTAGTGGCGAGCCCTGACCACACCAATCTCCGAGACAGTCTCGGGATCAGCATGATCCTGAGCATATTCGACAAGTGTCTGGGTGAGGACCCCGACGAACCACTACCGCCATACCTCAAGCAGATCAAACTGAAGGCACCCAACCCTTTCGATGGAAAGGACGACAGTGATGCCTTCAACGTCTGGCTAGAGAATCTCTTGTCCTATCTGGACACCCTCAGCCTGAGGGGACCGGACTTGGATATTCAGAGAATATCCTTCACCCGTCAGTGCTTGACGGGTGAAGCAGCAGTCTGGTATCAGCAGACGGTTACGTTGCCGATATGGCCAGTAGATAGGCCCATGTCACACCTCGAGTCCATCATAGGACTATACCGCCGTTTCATCCTAACGGATCAGTTCGCTGTAGCAGCGCGCGAGTTTGCGAGCGTTTGATTCGAACCTCACAATGGCAGGGTATCAAGGCTGTATGACCGACTGGTCTATTACGCGGAATGAATGTTCCAGCCGCCGACTCAACAGGACATCAAGGAGCAGTTTGTAGCAGCGCTACCCGCTTCCATCAAGCGCGAGCTGACTATCAGCCGGGGCCTGCACATTTGCCGCGACAACTTCGCGACATTCATGTCTGCCGCGTGCGAGATAGAGGAAGCAATGGCTTCCTTTAGGTCGCGTCAAGGGCATGATGGGTCACAACAGCGGATGTCGACGTCGACACCGCCGCGCCATAGCTCGACTTCCAAAGGGAAGTACCGAGCGGATCGACCCCCTTCTCAACAGGCCCCGCAACCTCAACCAGGCAGTTCGGGTCAGAGACCGGAACGGAAAGGGCAACCTTTCCGTAAGGACGGTCGACCACATCGTCAAGAGGTACCACAATAGGGACAGTCGAAATCGACGCCTCCCAACATCGGATCATCGGGGGGTAACAACCCCAATGTCAAATGCTTCAAGTGCGGCGGACAGGGTCATATTTCGACTGACCCAAAGTGTCCGCAATATGGCAAGCCCGGCCGTATGTACGCCCAGCGGATCGTCGACGCCGACGACTTGGACGGTGAGGCCGACGGCCTCTCTCAGCAGATCCTACAGCAACAGAGCGGTCCAGAGGACATGCCTAGAGAGGTCCAGGGCGACGTCGATGACGACGTGGATCTACCGGAGTCGGATTACGACGCCTACCACTTGGACTACGATTCTCCAGAGGATGAGCCTGACTGGGATGACGACGAAGGCCGCCGTGACGAGTTCTACGTCATGCGCGCCGAACCCGTCTTCGCGACCCCGGATGAGGAGAAGGAGGCGGTTCCGTCTTTCATCGAATACGATGCGAAGCGTATCCTGCAGTCCTTCCAATTGGACACCACGACCGCACCTACCAAATCCCTCACGAACGCGTGGCTGTACGATTCCCGTATACGCCGGTTGAAGGTGTCACGAACCGCCCTCACGGCGCTACGTTTCCTTTTCGATTCGGACCATTGCCTCGTATGTTTCCTTATTGTTCACTACTCGCTATGGTTTCCCTTTGTCCACACACGGACAATAGCTCCCTTTGTCCCCACGTCCACTATTGTCCTACACCCCTTGTACTCCATACCCATGGCGACGCTATTGTTCTCTAGCGCCCATTGTTCGTTCCCTGTATATAGCTGGATCCCTTGCTACCTGGAGACTCTAGTTTCGACCTCTTGTCTCCAGGTAAGCCATCGTGTATTTCGCTCTGTAGATACTTCGCTCAATACACAACTTGTCTCCAGTCCTGCCTGTTGAGCTCCGCTCCAGTCTCACTGCGATCAGAGCTCGTCGGCGCTCCTGCCTGCCTCGCTCGTCTCCACTTACTCGCTCGACAGTCAGTCGTAACATTAGGTCGAAACTACCTCACAGGCACCAGCGCCC